CTAATTGAATTATTATGCACACAATGCATGGAATATTTAGTGGTTTAGGAAGAAGCAGAAAAAAAAAGAACTAACGTACAACAATTGATCCGAAGACAGTACAAGAGAATAGATAGAAGGTAGAGAAAAAAAGCAAAGTGCAACTAGGCTGTAACAAAGCAGAAGATGGAAAAAAAACAGCAAACTATCGAGTTGTGTGTTGATAAACGTGCCAGTGATGGTGGCGCCAATGAAGCAATCCGCACTCAGGATATAGAGATATATACGTGGTTGTGTGAATTGTGCCACTGCATCAAATTTGGGCTTGTTGTGTCAAAGGCATTAATAGACTCCATTCAACATCACGTTTTGGCTTTCTCTCTGCATCTCTTTCTACCGTTGATCAATTTTTTTTTCTTTTATTTCTGTTTCTCAAAAGCGATGAAAAATTCACTTTGAAACTACAAAAAATGTCTTCGATTGGAGAAAGAACCGATCGTTTGTTGGTTCATTTCGGGTTTTGCTCTCTCTTCCTTTCTCTCTCTCTCTCCCTCTCGATCCACTAACACCGCGTGAAATTTAGTTTAGCATTTGTGTCGCTGAGAACATGAGCCCTCAATCCGATTCCAAAGTCAACGATGAAAAATCCACAGATACAGTTCATGTTGCAGAGATTATGTGACCCGAGAGCACCAGAAAACACCTACTCCTCGACGCGATCATTTCAAAGATGTGCAAATGTGTGCGCACAAACACGACATTTATATCATTATCACGTACCAAATGTTCACACTTTCTAAAAAAACAAACGTCGAACACTCGGCACGACGACTTCGATGAAGGGAATAGACACACACACACACACACACACACACAGGCAAAAAAATAAAAACAGATAACGAAATAATCTCAATAATAATCACGAGCGAAAATGACTGAATAAAAACTAAATGGACAAGAAGTGGAAGGCGCAAAGAAAAAAAAAGCAAGCAGATTCAACAGTGTAGGGAATTCTTAGTGATTTAGATCAACAATTGCAGAATATACATTTTAAATTAAGCTAATAATCGGTACGGCGCCTTTCGTGTTTATCTCATTATCCAGGCTAATCACGAATTGTAAATACGGCAAATGCAAATGCAACACCCATTTGTACCAAGTGGCTGCTTCAATTCTTCAATTGGGCCCAAACAGAACCAATGCATTCTACTATTTTATTTTTGCACGCTGTTTGTGTCCCTTTTCTTCCTCACACACATGCTCAGTTCGGTGTCTATTCCTTGGATTATTTTCGTGCGCATTCTTGCAATTACGAATGCAATTAAATATTTGTGTTTTTAGTTACATCGAAGTGAATACCAGAGATCGCAAACAACAAAACATAACACACAATTAAAATGGGCTTTGTCAACGGGAAACACCAACAGAAATAGAAAACGAAGCCCAATTCATGTTTTAAAACTAATATATTCTATTAAACTATTCTAAGTGATTTTGAGTGTGAGTCATTACATTTTCGAAAAAAATTCCTTCATCAACGATTCTTTTTATACCCTGTTGCATTTTCTCACTCTTGGCTCTCTGCCGGTTAAACTGCATTTCCACGATTGCGTCGTTTCGATTTCTTTGGTTGGAATGATTTTTGTTTTCATCTCTTGCTTCAGCAGCACGGCTGACGGAAAGGTATCCAATTTAGAACAATTTAGCCAAGTCACCGAGACACAAGTAACATATCTTGGAATGGCTGGCGGTGACATTATACACAGCTGTGAAAGTATTTCGATTTGTGTGGTGTTTTGTCTGTTATTTTGTTGTCATCGTCGTCTAAGCAACCAAACATTCGCAGCATAGACTTCTCTTTGCCAAATCTCCTTCTTTCTCTGTCATTGTTCTGGCCTTACAAAGTGTGTGTGTGTATATATATTTTTCTTCTATTTGTTGTGCTTTCGAGTGCGCGCCATTTGAATCCGGTAGTCGATTACATGATAGTTTAGTTACTCGAACAGGCACTTAATTTCTTATACTACAATCGAAACAAACAGACAAAAAAAATAATCCCAAACGAAAAACAGTCATGTTTGCACAACAATTTTCAGTTGGCAAACAAATATACAGAAGCGAAGACAAACCGCTAAAAAAGACACCATTTCTAGCTCACATGCAACGACAATAATTACAACAAAGGGATTGCAAACGGAATACAGAAAAGTCGAGAGAGAGAAAAAAGAGTAACAACAACATCAACGAGCGACAACAACCGTCGCAAACCGTTTTTACGTGTATTTTTGTTATTGTCATGCTCATGTCTCGTTGTTTTGTTGGGCTCTCTATCTGTGTGCCTTTTTTCCTCTCTCTCTCTCTCTCTGTCTCTCTCTCATCGTTTGAACGATCGTGTTCATGTTTCCTTCAATTCCTTTTCGTTGTTCTCGATGCGTAGGTCATTCCGATCACTGATCGTCGTCGACTTCCAAACAGTTTCTCCCTCAAAACGGCAATTTTACAATTGTAAATCCAGCGACGACGTGGTTGAAGACCGATAAAAGGTTTTGAAGGAAATTTTTTATGATGACAAAAAAAAATAAAACGAAAAAAAAATAATGGCTGGATTAGAGAGCTAACATACGTCTTCATACTTTAGTGTGTATAACAAAGTTCGAATTCATCAAGTTTCAAATTTTCGAGCAAAAAAAAAACCGTCGCCGTTGTTGTCAACGCAACAAATTTTTTTTTCGCCTTTTGTAAGCCTAGTTACCTTGAAACGTGCACTGCATTTAATTACAGCCATAAAGACTAATTAAATCAGGTACGGGTCGAACATCACATCGCCTCATCGATTTAGAAATTCCATTTGGCATATTTTTATCTCTCTAATCTACGCAGTGCATTTTTATGAGCGTGTAATGTGTGCGCGCAACATTCACGCGCGCTTCATCGTTCACTTGAGTCGCACAATACGATATATATATCGTTCATAAATGGCAAGTCTCAAATATCACACACATAAAATTCAATCAAGCGCGCCATTGAGCTAAAACCATCATAATTAAACCAATTCATTTTATTTATCATCGTTTTCTGCTGCTGCTGCTGCTGCTGCTGCTGTTGATACTTCCAGCCAGTCAAGTTTTCGTAATGTAGCGCATTTCATGCGTGTTTCTGATACATATTCAGTGATCAGCCAGCGCAGTGCAGTGCAGTGCGAATTGAAATTGTCGTAAGACATGCATTATTGATCACGTTTCTTCTCACAGCAACAACATCGCCACAGCGCATTCACAATTAATTGTGTACCGGAGTAGGGAACCAGAGTAATTGTCTCAAATCAAAAGAAAACAAATAATTAATAATAATATGTAATATGTCATAAGCGCAAATAAATCGAAAGTCAATCGCGTTAGAGCAACGCGAGCTGGTACGCAAAAACACACAAACGCGTAGGGAATAAAAAGTTAGTTCATGCGCCGCACTGCACAGTGATTGCATCCTGTGTACATGTGTGCATTGCCCATTAATCGCGGCAAATCATAATGGAAACACTTGATGTCAAACCAACCATTCATTGCATTCGTGAACGTTGAACACATACACTTTTATCAACGACAGGAAAAAAAAACTGCGTGCTAATTTGATGGCTATGATTAGAAAATTGTCAATTGTCACGACATGAAATGTTTACCGAAAATTACAATTGACATTTCGATCAAAAATCAAACACATAAACGATGACAAAATCACACTTTAACTCTGGTTTGAAATTGTCACATTCACCGTGGCCGAACGGGTCGATCGGACCACATTAAATCGAGGTAACGAGTTTTACAGTGTTTTGGTCAATTTTGGTGCGCCAATTACCCGTGAATAAAGTGATTAACATGACAGGTATTATTGTACTGAATTGACATTCCGATCAACTCATTCATGTATTGATCAATGGCGGTAACGGCCAATTAATTAATCACCAAAAAAAAACTCAACAATAAATGGCACTTCAATTTGTTCATGAATACAATCCAAATGAGACACCGACTGCAGCTTAATAATAAAGTATTTTTTATGATACTAAGAGCGAGATCGGACGATGATTGCACTCACATAACAATGACGAAAAAAAAATGAATTCCAACTCATGAAAGATAAACCGTGGCTTTGAAATTTTTATCTATATTCGTTTTTTCTATGAAGATTTAATCATTTTACTTGATTCGTTGGCGGCACTCGACTTTACGTGCGCTAGTTTCATACATTGCTTAACAAATGTATACCGTGTAAGTACACGAGCAGAACAAAACCAACGAAGAAAAAAAACCGTCGAATATGCAGAAATGTGAAGAGAAAAAAATTGCATCGAGTTATGGCACATACACGAAAAAAAAACGAGTCGCGAAAAGAATCTCTGTATTAGCATTTAGTTGTTGAACATCAACGACAACTCGATATTATACACAGCACTGAATCATCTCATAGCCAACCACGTTGGCATGGAGCAAATATTGCGAATAGGACGGAGATGGTGTTAAGCTGTGTGCATCGAGTCGTCGCAAGATTGCCCATAGAATTGCTGCTTTTTTTTGAGCTGCGAAACTAGAAAAATGATAAAGAATTGGAAGAAAAATAGAATCATTTTGCATAAAAACGATTTGGCATGCCAGCACAGAGTCCACAATTCAGTTCGACGAAGGAAGAGAACGTGAGCGAGTGAGAGAAAGAGTGCAGAGAGAAAAGCGAGACGTGCTACATGCCAACTAACAGCAACAGCAGCAAAAACAGTTAAAATGAACCGAATCAAGGCACCTTTGCACCTTTTATACAAAAATTATAGCAGCCATACATTGCAACCGATGAAGAGAGAGAGGGAGAAAGAAATGCACACGGTGTCGGTGCAACCTGCCAAGTAACTAAAAACACAGAACCAACTCTTCGACTCACACCGAACACAAATAATTCATGTTTTCCAGCATTGAGTCGCGATTTTCATCCTCTTTTCTTAAATATATTATATTAATATATATTTTTCTCTTCTTTTGTTGTTGTTATAAAATTACATTTGTGATTCACAGGCGATTTTCTCATTCGACCGAAACCAACAAAAAAAAAGAAACTTTCTGTCTCCGTGATGAAAAGTGAATTCAATAGTACATCATAGTTTCATTGCATGGCTCGAATCACGGCATTGCCAAGCTAATAAAGGCATGCGTGGTCTTTTTCAGGTTTCGGTTTTTTAAATGAGATTTACGCTTTTCGGACTACATCGCTGCCCATAGATTTATTGTTATCGAGTAATTGGTGGTTCATGAACCAATGGTTCTGTCGACTATTGTTGAATTTAATTGAAAAAATGGCTATGCCGCAGGCTAGTTTTAGTCGATAATTTGTTTATTTCTGGTTGCGACGTTTCAGACACACTCGGTGTTCCATTATCAAGCACTACAAAATCAAAAAAGTGTATAAGTAAACAATATAAACAAAAAATTCTGTTCATCACAGACTCACAGTTAGAATGCGTTTTTACGCAAAATTGAAATTCTCTCTTAACGCGAACATTTCGATCACGTTCGGTGTAAATCACAGGAAATTGGTTTTAAAAATACAAAATACTTAAATATTTAAATGTTTAAATAGTGAAAAAAGTAAAACTAATTGGAATTGAACAGTCAATATCAATGAATGTGAATCATTCTCCTTCTTCTTCGTCTATCGGTTGTGTGACAGTCATCGGATTCGCCGCATTACTGTTGACATTTCGCCGTTGAGATTGTGTGTTTCGGGCTTTAACACTTTGAAGTACCGATGCGTATGTTTTTGAGATGCCTTGAACATCTCTTCGTAAATTCATTGAATCGTTGCAATAAATATGAAGACTTTCGTTGACTAGTCGCCTTGACAAAAATTGCTCAGTATCAAGAATTGAAACATTCTCAAAATCCGGTTGGTGGCCGGTATTTTCCGCATGGATCGTTAGTGCTGTTTTGTTGTCATCACTTTTCTCATCAGGCGCAACGGGTTTAACGTAATCGGGTGTTATGTGCTTGGTGCTCGTTTTGTGTGCATACATACGGACTCGAACGCGATTTTTAGTTTGTCCGACGTAGTTCTTTGAGCACGGTTCATTCTCTTTTCCACGGCAGGGGATTTTGTAGATAGCGTTTATTTGGTCGGGTGTTTCAATCTTTTGTTTGAGTTTTGTGAACACCGTCTCGCCCAATTGATTCATCGGTTTGAATGCGAGCTCTAAGTGTTCGTTCTTCCCTTTAAACACTTGTTTAATGTCTTCAGAAATCACCGGGAAATACGAAAATCTTTTTCTTCGAATCGGTTCCGATGTTCGCTGTGATGGCGTTTGCGGCGGTCGGTTCTGATTCCTAATGAACTTGTTGAGTTGTGCTTTGATTACACGCATTGGATATGCGTTCTCACGTAGGATGCTGATGATTTTGTCGATGTTTTTTTGCTTGAATTCGTCGTCCACAATCGATAAAACTCGACTGAAGAAACCATATGCAACCGCTTCCTTTTGTTTCAAAGGGTGTTGGGATTGAAAATTCAAAATGCGATTTGCGGCTGTTGGTTTCTGGTACCAATCAACTTTGATGTCGTTGTTGTCACCGCGTTGAATCAGCAAATCAAGGTACGGGAGGGTTCCATTTGTTTCTTTTTCGACCGTAAAGACGATTTTCTGTGGGAAAACAGCGTTCAATTTACTCACAAATTCGTCAAGTTTGTTGCGAGGAATTATTACAAAAATGTCATCGACATATTTCATTAGCATTTTTGGTGTCCAATCGAGGGTGTCAAGCACTTGGTCGATGATCTCATTGGTGAAAAAATTCGCGATGGTTGGTGCGACATTGATGCCCATTGCTGTTCCGTCGATTTGCTGGTAATACATGTCACCGTAGGCAAAGACAGCTGCTTCAAGCAGTACGAATTCAAGCAATTCAACGAAGATCTTTTTCGACATGGCCGTTTTTCTGTACAACTTTCTCCATTTTTTCATTATCAAATCGATGGTTTGCCGGATCGGTATACTCAGAAAAAGTGAAACGATATCCAGCGATACGATGATGTCATTTTCGTCAAGTGTTATCGTCCTCAATTTCTCTTTCACCTGCTGCGAATTCTTTACATCGTATTTTTCATGAATGATGTTACGGAGAAAAGAATCAAGCCAAATGGATAGAGCTGAAGCTGGGCTGTTTGTTGTTGAATTCACGAGACGTAGTGGATGACCCGGTTTATGCAATTTGGGGAAAGCATAAATTCTCGAGATTTGTGTGTTATTCTTTTTCATCCTTGCTCTCTGCTTCCAATCAATGTCACCGCATTCGTTGAGTGTCTCGATGATTTCATTCGCTCGTTTTTCGAGTCGAACTAGAGGCGATCGTCTGCCTAGGCATTTGTATGTCATTTTATCATCGAGAAGTTGCTGCATTTTTGCCTCGTATTCGGTTTTATTCATAGCCACCGTACACCCGCCTTTATCTGCAACTAGAATAACTAATTCGTCGTGTTGTTTCAAAAATTGGATGCAGTCGGTATGAATGTTTGATATGAGCTTCTGAATTGGAGTGGCTGAATCGGGTTTCGATTGGATGTTCGACAAAATGTTAGCCACTTGTGCTCGTACAATATCCCTATCGTTAATCCAATCGCCATTCTCATCATATCCGGGCAATGTTTTGATGCAATCTTCAACATCCACTAACAGCTTAATAATCGGCAGTTTTTGGTTGCTAACTGGCACAGCGAACCTTTTTCCCAACGAAAGAAGCCATTTGACTTCTTCTAAACGCTATCTACAAAATCCCCTGCCGTGGAAAAGAGAATGAACCGTGCTCAAAGAACTACGTCGGACAAACTAAAAATCGCGTTCGAGTCCGTATGTATGCACACAAAACGAGCACCAAGCACATAACACCCGATTACGTTAAACCCGTTGCGCCTGATGAGAAAAGTGATGACAACAAAACAGCACTAACGATCCATGCGGAAAATACCGGCCACCAACCGGATTTTGAGAATGTTTCAATTCTTGATACTGAGCAATTTTTGTCAAGGCGACTAGTCAACGAAAGTCTTCATATTTATTGCAACGATTCAATGAATTTACGAAGAGATGTTCAAGGCATCTCAAAAACATACGCATCGGTACTTCAAAGTGTTAAAGCCCGAAACACACAATCTCAACGGCGAAATGTCAACAGTAATGCGGCGAATCCGATGACTGTCACACAACCGATAGACGAAGAAGAAGGAGAATGATTCACATTCATTGATATTGACTGTTCAATTCCAATTAGTTTTACTTTTTTCACTACTTAAACATTTAAATATTTAAGTATTTTGTATTTTTAAAACCAATTTCCTGTGATTTACACCGAACGTGATCGAAATGTTCGCGTTAAGAGAGAATTTCAATTTTGCGTGAAAACGCATTCTAACTGTGAGTCTGTGATGAACAGAATTTTTTGTTTATATTGTTTACTTATACACTTTTTTGATTTTGTAGTGCTTGATAATGGAACACCGAGTGTGTCCGAAACGTCGCAACCAGAAATAAACAAATTATCGACTAAAACTAGCCTGCGGCATAGCCATTTTTTCAGTTATCGAGTAATCTTCAAGTGTCTTCCTTGCTCAGTCCTCTTTAGTTTTACCATTGAAATCTACCCTTTGCAGGCACTACATGAAATGTAGAGCCTAGTCATGATTTTGAAAAAGAATTTTAGTCTGTCACATCACCATCTCGAACCTGTCGAGAAAACCATTCAATTTCCTTTATTCATTCACTTTGAATATTTTCATATCAATTTCTTCATAAGTCAGCTGACTAATAAAAAACTATGCGAAATTTTGATAAATTTTTTTTCGTTACGCTTTGTGCGAATCTTCGTTTCGGAGTGGAGCGCATCGACTTGTTCCCTCATTTTGGTTTTGGGCCGCAAAACAGATCAACTGTTTCGAGTTCACATGATGGAGATAATTTTTCGTTGTCTTCCAATATTTTGTGTGCATATGACATGTTCAATATCGAAATCTGACAATATCCTTGTGTTACATTCTGTTGCAACATTCTCATGGTAATGGCTACATTCATTACACATGGAATATTTGAAACGAACGATCGAGTAGAAGCGAAAAGAAAGTGTTGAGTATTGCATTGTTCAAATGGCGATGAGCGGTGTGCGGATCCATGATCTCGTGTGCACGTATGGTGGCCGGCCTTTTTCAATACTTCATTTAGCCATTCGTTACGGTATTATTCGTCTTATTAGATTTTTCTTCGGTTATTATACACTTTATGTTCTTATTACACTGGTTCTCGCGGGGGATACATGTACTTGTTGTGTATGCCATCGTCATTCACTACGCAAATCCATAACAAAGTATTTGCATAGGCTGGGCGCGATTGTAACACACGATATTATGAGTTGTTGTTGTTGTTGTTGTTGTTGTTGATGCTGCCGCCGCGCTTTTCAACCGAGCGTTTCGGTTTTCTCTCTCTTCCGTGCACCACTCGACACAATCGAACATTTGTTGTCGTCGCGACTTGTATTTTTCCCTGAAAATTTTACATGTGTTTCGGTATGTGTCTTATTACTATTTTTGTTATTATTTCATTCTCTCTCTCTCACTCTCTCTCTCTCTTCTACTCGTTCACCGCTTAGAATGTGTTCAATAGTTAATAATTTACGTTTGAAATGAAATAATTTTGGTACGGTTCTACAATGCGAAACAGCGTACAGGCGCGCACACACACTACACACTTGATCAAATTACCTAGAATTTTGAAATTAACAACAGAATCGGCCGTGAAGGAGTGAACGAATGGACGTCATCAAAAGAAAAATTCTATTTTTCTATTCTCATTCTGTCGTAACACTAATGCACAGGGCTGCCATTGTGAATGGAAAAGGAATGTCGAACCCATAAGAAAAATCGATGAAAAGATCGAACCGACACTCGGCAGCTCGATTTTAACGATATGTATTCCGCATCAACAATAACAACAAAAAAGATACAATGGAACAAATATGCGTCATATTGTTCATCTAAATAGCGAATGATTTGAAAGAAAAAAAAATCGAAATGTGAAAATTCGTCTCGGAATATCCCTTTGGAATGATCGTACACCGTCATCACGTATTCCACGCGGTGGTCTTCTATTTTCTACTTGAAACGCGCTCTTAATGAATGGACGCTTGCTCTTCGAAGAATCATTCGTTGGGTGTACAAAAGCGCAATTTTACAATTAACTCATAATATGACACATTGATTCTTTTATGACTGAATCGCGTTCACGTGAACAAAATTTTAACCATTAACTTTTAGCCTTTTCAAATGAAAATAAAAACATCAACTTGTTTTTCGGTTGAAAGTATCCAATTTCCGTTTGAATTATTATTGTTAGTTACATTAATGAAAACAAATCCATTGAAATATTCTCAATTTAAATCAAAATCATTCAATTTCAGGTGTCGTTCTGGATGGGAAGGACCGTTGTGTGATCAATGCAAAGTATATCCTGGATGTCGGCATGGCTACTGTAATGGAAGCGCTTGGCAGTGTATTTGTGACACTAACTGGGGTGGCATTTTATGTGATCAAGGTAAGTGTATCAATTGCAATCACTCGAATGTAAAAAAGAAATCGCATTGATCCCTCTTGTTCCGGAATAAACCACTTTTAAATCGAAATTTTGAACAAACAACTATTTGAAACTATTGGGATGGGTCCAATGCAACGAACATTGTCCGTCACATTTGGATATGCCAGTGAAAGATACACATTGACGCGTTGCACTCTATCAAAATCATGTTTCAATCTATTGTTCTCAATTTTCAACCGCATCCGCACTACGTCCGAAACGAAACACCATGAACCTTACCCGAAAAATATACACATCCCAATAGTCCAACAATTGAAAATGACAACACAAACGAAAAAAAGGAACAGAAACATACAAACAATAAATTACAGTTTAACAATCTCACCCCTATTTTTGTCCCTAATAAAAATTACCACACTTGAGTATCGTGTATTCATATCGTGCAATGAGACAAACAATGAGCGGTTCGTTAGGCAATTGTTCTCCATTGTTACACTATTTAAATGTGCAAATGCGTAAAGAGAGTATAATAACGAGCGCGGTCGAGTGTCGACAGACAGAAAGATGCACCGCGCGCACATATCCACACACACATACACATACACACGCGGACGCACAGACACACTTTAAAGTTGCCGATGCGTGACGCGATCGTTGGTATGATATATGAACGTCACATACGCATTGGTTCATGTGTGTGTGTGTGTGTGTGTGTGTGTGTGTGTGTGTGTATTTGATGACTTCTCGCTTCCTCTCCCTTACCACTTTATCCGAACTCTGCCAGATTGCCGTTTTTATTTGTGGTTCATGTTCACTGCAAATCATCCCTTTGCACATCCGGATCTATTCATTCCAAATTGAAAATTGATTACGCACTGCATTTATCATGCGGTTTGTAATATACATCACAAAGGACATTTTATGTGTGCGGGTTCATGCGCGCGCGCGCGGAAGGAAACGAACAAAAACTGTGTCAGCAGAGCAAGTGCGGTCATATGTTCAAAAAAATAACTTAGAATTTCAATGAAACACAGACACGTTCATCAAAATCAAGTTCATTTAATTCGATCAACAGCAACAGCGAAAAAAACTGTCTTCTTCTTTTTTTCCAACTCACCCCATTTTCAAATGTGAAATGATCCTGAGCGATAGCACTGAATCATCATCAGATGCTTTCATTCAGTTAGTTAGGTCACCGAATGTTTTTTTTGTCTTTGTCGTTTCGTTTATTCGCATTTTTTTCTATTGCATCAAACGAACCCTTTCGCTTGCAATACACATTAGGTCATCATTCATCTGTTTCGATGTTTGTAAAAATAATTACCCATGTATGTTCATTTTCATACAATGTTGTTTTTTTTTTTATTGAATTACGTATTTGCCGCGCACAAAACGAAAGGAAAAAAAAGTAAACATTTGTTTTCCTTTCTTCCTTTCATTTTACACTTGCGCTTCCAGCTCATTTATTGCACAATCTGTTGTAATATTGGATTAAGTTAAGTTAAATCTAGACGGTTCTCGTTTTAGAATGAAACGTAGTAAAAAAAAACAACGCTAAGGCTTTTTTTCAGGTGAATTTCCATTTTATGTCCAATTGTAATTCTAATTCTCGTTATTTTTTTTATTTTTTCTCTCTCTCTCTCTTAAATAGATCTGAACTATTGTGGAACACATGAACCTTGTTTGCACGGCGGAACGTGTGAGAATATTGCACCAGATCGATATCGTTGCACGTGTACCGAAGGACTATCGGGCGATCGTTGTGAAATCGTTGAACATCCATGCGCAACCCAGCCTTGCCGCAATGGTGGCACGTGTACCCTCAAGGTACATTCAAATTGTATTTCGATGGTTATTTTCTCGCTTTCACGTTTTCAAGTCTCTCGCTACGTCCGTTTTCGATCGATCGATTTTACAATTGCAGTGTAATTTGTAAATGGGCTTTGATTGGTACACTTTTTCCACCCGTTTTTCTTTTATTATCATCAATATCGAATCACTTAGGTATCGGTTAATGGAATTGCCGCCGCAAGGAGTTGAGAATAGCAAGAAAAACAAACTAAGTGATTGATAATTGTGATTGACAAAGAGAAATAAGAAGGGAAAAAAAACAGTGCAGCGTGTGCGACCTTCAATGCAAGCAGCCTCGTGAACGACACATTTCCAAGTAATCACCGGTTGGCCGAAAAATTACGTTAAATGAGTCTCATTGATCGGGCGCGAGTTGATTGAAATCCGTGTCGACACTCGCTGAACGTGAAGGCGTTTCATCACTTCATTTGGGTCACCGATATGATAATCAATTTATTCTCTTTTTTTTCGGTCGTTTAATTGGTTGCCGACGGCATTTTTCAGTGTACCGAACGCGCGTAACTCTCGATATCAATTCGTATCGAATTCGAGTGCAATCATTCAATTCAATTGGCGCATATCATTTCCTTTTATGCTTGACGCTTGCATTCTTCGGTAGTGAATTCAAGTTGTGCACTCTCTTTTCGCTACTGATTGTGATGGCAGCAAATTTTTTTTACTTGTCCTTTTTTTCAATAAAATGAAGAGAGAAAAAAACGAAACCGAAAAAAGAGGAATTACACTAATTGATGGCTTTTTGATTACATACTTCCCGACGACAACGACAACGACATCGAAAAAAACGTAACGACACTCGTTCAATGGGTAGAAAACGGCCAAAGAATATCTAAACTTGATCGCTCGCATTGATTGACAAAAGTACGCAATTTTTGCGTAAGCGTTTTTTTTTTTCATGAGACACCGCTCACAGCAGCAGAACGAAAAGAATGTCAGAATAATTGCTGAACTGGAAATTATACACACGCTACTTGCAATCATATATGATTGAAAATTGTGTAAACACATACACAAAATCGACTGTTTTTATTTTATTCTTCATTTAGCCCCATTTTTGTGATCGATTTTCGACTGGAGATGTCCTCTCTTGCAATTTTCAGTATTTTTCTTTGATGTGGAATAAACACGATTTTAATGAATTTGTTTTTTTTTCGCTCTCTTTACGTGTGCATTTTTCTTTCTCTCGACAGAATCCAACCAAGTATGATGGCAGTGGCCGGAAAGAGGGCGATAAGACACTCGAACAAACGACAGCTGTTGTAGTTCGACGCGGAATGCGCGGTATGAGTTCAATGGGTAAACCAGTTAGTGTACGACCGACCAGTGAATCTAATAGCGTTTTATTGAGTAACAATGCGAAAATGTCGTCGATATTATCGCCAACACCGCCAGTCAATGAGTTTACTTGTACATGCGCCACGGGATGGACGGGATCCACTTGTGAAATAAGTAAGTATTATATGCCCTTTTGGCTTCTCTCGCTCACACATCGAGATATTTTGTCAATGACTTCGAATTAAATCTTTTTCCGTTGATTTATTCGGTACAAACGAGAAAAATTTTCTTACAAAAAACACTGCAAAAACAAACCAAACACACCAAGAGAAAGGAAGTGACGTTGGCATATTGTCGAAGGATTTTTAGTGTTGGAATTATAATGAAAGAAATAGAGAAAAAAAAAATAATTGTTTTTATGTTTGCATTATGCAATCGAAATGCTCATTCATTCACGTTAATGTGTGAATGGGTAGAAATAAAAATCGTAGTCGCGTAGACACACTCAAAATAAATGTGCTTGAAATAACAAATCGTTTCAAGTTAATTGACCATTTAAAAGAATATTACAGTAAATTTAATGCTCGATTTGCTTGAAGAGTGCGAGAGTGCGGCTGAGCCTGTGCCTCTTGTGAAATGTTTTATTTAGCTTAAATCGGATGCAAGTAAATATGAGTTTATTGAGTGCTGACCGTGCACTTTTGATCCTTTCTACAAATTTCTAGTCAATCATATGGTGAATCCAAGGAATTACAGCAATCAAGACGCGGCTGCATCAGCCCATTAGCTAGAACACTTTGATAATAATTGATGTGATTTTTATTAAACTACTGCGTAAATTCACACAACGCGTTCGTCGCAGCAGCAGCAGCGCTGCACATCAAAGTGAACTTTGGCAACAAACATACACACAAACACAAAACTCATTGGCATCCCGTTTAATTGGTAGAACAAAAAAAATAAGCCATTTCTCGTTTATTTCATTCACATCAAACGTCAAAAGGTACCGACTCTCCTCTCGTGTGTGCACTTTTCTATGTGCACAATTTCAATGGATAGTTCAAATTAGATGTAAATTAAGACTTCGTTTTTCATGCACTTTTTCCATGCCATTGAACGAATGTGTGTGTTTGTGTGTGTCTCTTTCACTCACTCTTTTCTCAAATCGCCGCGTTCTTAGAGCAACAGTTTCGATGCAAATAAATCATTTTCCACAAATGGCTGCCGTTAGTCTTAAAAGTCACAAGTCACACCGTGTAAATGTTTGTTGACATTTACGGTAACGCGAAATAGTTAAAGAGGTAGAAAAAAACACCGAACAGCGACTGGAAAATTACTTACAAAATTTATTGCATTTCGTCTGCTTTACATAGCGCGCACTCAAATTTATTTGCTATTCAATTTAGCGCATAGCAAGCGAGGGAGAAAAAGAGCAAGAACACGGAGATTTTCTGGTCGACTTGATTATAACGATTGCAAAAAAAAATAAAACAGAAGAAATAAACCTATTAATTTGCTGTGTTGAGTTCGAAGAAAGAAAATGAATTGGATAACAAAGGAAAAAAAAACGTTTTGTTGGCAGTCTCATGTCATTGGATGGACTGAATACGATTTCCGGTTAATATTCATTTTATAATGTTGTGAGTTTTTTTTTCTTCTTCTTTTTTTCTTTTTTCATGTGCATAACAAAACAAAATGGAATGAAAAAAAAAACGTAGATATTGATGAGTGCTCTGGAGATCCTTGCGAACATTCTGGAACCTGTATTGACCTTGTTGGCGGATTTCGTTGTGAATGCCCTCCGGAATGGACGGGTGATGTATGCGATGTCGGTAAGTGTCTCTCTCTTTCTCTCTCTCTCTCTCTCTCTCTCTCTCATTGCGACAATATGTATATAGAAATCCATTTGATAACCATCCATCAAGTGTGATCAATTCGCGCCCCGGCTCTCAATTCGAAATGGCAACCAAATCACCAAATCAAACAGGAAAATCGCATGCTTGCGAATAACAAGAAAATCGTTCAATTTATGTCTCTTTCTTCTTCTTCTCTGTCCGTTTTGCCATTTCGATTTTACGTGCTGCGGCTAGTTTTTACTCAATTCCTACTTAAAATGATTGGTTTAACGCAATTTACTTCACGTTTTTTTTTTACTCTCCGTCTCTTTAATGAATAAATGAACCGCACGAATAAATAAAAATCAACAACAACAACCACCATCAGATGTTAATGAATGCGAATCAAATACATCGTCTGCATTGGGACCATGCATTAATGCTGAATCATGTACGAATACGCCGGGCGCATTTACGTGTACCTGTTTGGAAGGATGGAGCGGTTTGACATGCGCAAAAGATATTGATGACTGTGTTGGTCAATGCAAAAACGGTGCAACATGCATCGATTTGGTAAACGATTATCATTGTGCTTGCGCCAACGGTTTCACGGGTATGTTGCATTACATTCTTAACGTTCTTTCTATTTGCAATATATTTATATTATTTTTTTCTTTGCTGCTCGTGCACACACACTCTTTCTCGCTATCTCTGTCGTTGCATTTATTTATTTATTTATCATTTGGCCTGCAATTTTCGATTCGAAATGCGCAATGCTGGGCTTCCATTGATAAATATCTATTTTTCTTACAGCATCAAATCATTATTCAAATCTCAAAAATTCTGTGAGAATCATTTTTCTTGTACATTTTTCATTTCCTTCTCCTGCATCTTCGTTTGGCTGCCAATTTGGTTTCAGCCGTAACCACCGTATGCAGTGTGTGTGTGTGTTTGTGTGCTCTGCTGCGCTTTGAATTAATGATTTTAGATTATTAATTTGACTCGATTTTTTTCTCTGCTCTTTTTCATTTCGGTTTTCCTGCTCCCTCTGTGCGCGTACGCTCGTTCGCCCGTTGCAACCATCGCTTCGACTTCACTTTTGCCTGACACAGGACGAGATTGCGAAACGGACATTGATGAATGCGCGGTGAATCCGTGCGCCAATGGCGGAGAGTGTGTCAATATGATTGCAAAATTTAAATGCATTTGCCCAGTCGGATACTCTGGAACACTGTGCGAGGTATGTAATAAAATCAACGTTATTTTTTGTGCTTTTCTTTTCTTTTTTTTGGCTCGTTTTATTTCTCTTCATTTTGGACGCTGCGGTTTTTTTCTTCATTATTTCGTTGATCGTGTTCATCGCAAAACTTTGGCTTGATTTAAGCATCGGGCCATGGTCGAATGGCGACAGCCAAAGTTTAAAACCGATATTCATGGTGACAATAATCTCTTGTGCGGGTATGAAATCAGGGAGCAGTGATCAACGGTTATCGTGAACGCGTTGAAATCAATTTAATTTTGAAAATGCGATCGCAATCTATTTTCTTGATCACTTGGACTTTGTGCTTCTCTCTTGCTCCCATTCTTCAAGCAGTAAACCAGAAAGAAATACACGCCGGTTTGCTGCCGTGTTTCTCACTCTCTCTCTCTCTCTCTCTCTCTCTCTCTGTGCGTCGTTTCTTTTCGTTGCTTCTTTACATTGAGTTTGCTTGCACACAAGATAACTCTCACGAAATCATCGACGGCTTGTGAATGATGTTTGTACGTGGAATAAAGTGAGTGGTATTGAGATGGCAAACGATTTAAATTTCTTGCCTTGTTGTTTTAACTGTGCGGTTGTTGTATTTTTCTTTATTGCTTCCATCCTTCTGTATGTGTGTGTGTGTGTGTGTGTGCAAAAGTATCGGGGCTTGAGCGCGTATTAACGATGCGATTTGTGTGTAAAGCCGATGGTTTTAGTGGAAAATTTTGCACTGAATAAACTCCACATTTAAGCCTTTGTACCGTTTCATATGTTATTACGATGCTTAAAAATTATTTATGATCAGTTTAAACTACATTTTCAAGCATTTCATGTCATGTCACGTTTGACAGTTGAAAAGAAGCAGATGAAGAAAGAAAAAAGCGACACCCAACACAAAATCCAAATTAAATGAAAGGAATTACGATTGGGTGAATTGCGCACGCGGAAAATCCCCCAATGACCAACATCTTAATTTACGCATTTGCCAAATTCAAACATTTCTTCTTTCTCCTCGTATCAATTTCAACAACTGAGTACTATTCTCAAATCAAATGACCAATGCTGATATCACGAATTGGTTCACTTGTCAACTTTTTTTGGTTGGTTTCTTTTTATTTTTGGCCGACTGAAAATTGAATTTCATTTTTTTCGTTCACGATGTGAATCGACTCTATTTCCCACACGTAACGGATTATGCTTATTTTTTTTTCTTCTTCGCCACGAGCAAATTGTAACAGCTTAATTAACCGACTTCACATGTGCCGTATGCAAACAGCACAGCAACATCGTAAACATGGGCGAATAGGAAAGTAGCAATTCTTGTCTCGTGTGAGAGACACGACGAGGGTAATATTCGCGCCTTGGCCAAGTGAAGCGCGTACGCATGATTTATAATCGTCGATGACATGTGTCGTTATTAACGCATTGAGCTGTATAAATCGCGTGGCTTTTTTTCTCTCTCTCTTCTTCTTCTTCATGGGTCTTTTCATTCATACGCACCGAATCCGGACTCTTTCTCTGTCTGATCTTTGGTCAGACGATATCGACGACGAAGTATATATCGTCATTATACGCGGTTTACACCATACACTTGACGTGTTATACTTTCGAGCGACACCACGGCAATAAGACAAAATAATAAAGACAGATAAAGAATAAGGAGACAAACCGAGAGAAAGAAGAAGAAGAAGAAGAAGAAGAAGAAGAAGAAAAAATAAAGAATACCATAACGATGAAAACTGATGAATGCAGTCAAATCATCGGTAAATCGTGTTGCTAATCTGATTACAGACAAAATTACCCAGCGTAAGCTTAATTTAACATGCGCAATTAATCATCGGGTGGTTTTTCGAATTGTGAGAATGTGTCATCGATCCAATCGATTTTGAAGACAACGATGATGACGACGGCGATGATGCTTCAAAGACCTATTCAATTGCGGTGTGATTACAACTTTATAACTTTCTTTGAATTTATTTTGTGCAGTTAGAATAGATCGTTTCAATCTTTTTATTGTGTATATCGTTTCCATTGAACAAAATAAAAACCATTGCTATTCAACGAGAGCAATAATAAAAGCAATGAGACCAAATCACACCGATTGAACTAGAACCATTCATTCTCGTCAAACCACGACAACGAGATTTATTCCAATTCACACAAATATAATTCATCTAGTTGTTGATATTGTCACTGGCTTCACGTTGAGAAGTCACAAAGAAACAGGGGGGAAAAAATGAAGACGAATACCCAAAGACATACTTCTTAACGGCTTAAGGTGTTTTGATTCTCGTATATCATATGGCCCATTGTGAAATGGTAAAGAGTTTTAATGAATTCTCCAACGAACAATGTAGTCAGAGCATCTCAACATCACCGCCGCTGCTGCCCGTCTATTGTTGCATCCGTGTGCATCGTGCGCAAAACATGTAACAAATTAAATGTACAGAACGAAAAACCGTTTATGAATGGTGGTAACATTGAGGCAAGAGAGCGAGCTAGCGAGAAATGAACGTGCGCAAAGAGATTTTTGTCGCTTGTTTTTCCATTCAGCGATGACTGTGCGCGGTGCAGTGAGATAGCAACAAGAGAGAAAATGAGCCATAAGAATGGAAATAGTTATCAATTAAATCATCATAAACGACGACAATTGAATGAGTGATTAGCTGGTTTTTTATGGTTCGCTTCCTTTGCTGGCCGCACACTATTCATACACTCTATTTTATACGTACTTATGATTGTTGTCATAAATTCTGAGAAACAAAATCCAAGCCAAGTGGCTTGCATGCATACGTATACTGCATTGAACCGTGACAATTGTTGCCGTGAGAGATATAGAAAAAAGATTACCCAAGAGAATCACACGACCAACACCGATGAAAATAAAAGCGTCAAGAGAGAATGCGCGTCAACACTGACTGACTGACGAACCAGCAAACGAACAACTATTAATTCAAATTGTGTATTATTCGTCCAATAAACTAGGAGGCTGAAGATCATTGTTCACCAACACCATGCGTTGAAGGAAGCTGCTTAAATACACCTGGCGGCTATTACTGTCATTGTCCAGCTGGTCGTGCCGGTCGCCATTGTGAATTGCTCGCAACGCCGTGTAAATCACCGCCGTGTTATGGTAATTAAACTTCTATTTAAATGGACTTTTGGCTACAGATATGCGCTCTCAACACTTATCACCTTGTTTGCTAGCACTTGCTTTTTGTTGTGTTGATGGACGACACCCAATGAATCAATTGCATGAATGAGTTATATGCTGTTGAAAGATATATGACTGTGTCGCTTGAGGCATATGGTTTCCTCTTCTTTTTGTTTAATTTTTTTTTTCAACTTTTCTTTGAATTTTCATTACATTCTTTTGGTTTTCTCATTCTTTAGTCGGTTGTACGGCACCAAATTCGAATTCATCGATTCCATGTAATGGTCATGGAAAATGCGAAACAAAAGAGAACGGTCAAAGTTGTTTGTGCTACTATGGTTTCACCGGGCCCTATTGCGAGCACAGTAAGTGTTTGTTTTCACAACAATTTACTCCGCTTTGATTGGCATTGCGCGATTTTCAATGTAATTCTTATTCTGCATTTCAGATCTCAATGACTGTTTGCCAAATCCATGCATCAACGGTATGTGCTTGGATGGAGACGGGAAATTTACATGCAAATGTGCTCCTGGTTGGTCAGGTAATTTTAATTTTCATTCAAAATGAAATTGATTTTCGAGAAATTAGGCTTTTCAACTGAATTCATGAACTCTTTGATTTCGGTAGGTAAAACGTGTACAGAACGAATTACGCAATGTTTTAGCGGTCAATGTGCGAATGGTGGCTCGTGTGCACCGACGATCATTGGTGGCGAAGCCACTTCCGTTTGTATTTGTGCTAATGGATGGGGTGGCGCTTTCTGTACAGAACCAATCGATCAGTGCCAAGGACAGCCGTGTCACAATGGAGGCACTTGTGAGTCGGGAACGGGATGGTTTCGATGCGCTTGCGCTCAAGGATTCAGCGGACCCGATTGTCGTATAAATGTTAACGAATGCTCACCACAACCGTGCTTGGGCGGAGCCACTTGCATCGACGGCATCGGTGGTTTCACGTGCATCTGCCCGAAAGGTAGACGTGGACTGAGATGTGAAATATGTAAGTTTGAATTATTCTTTCTGCGTTAAAACTTAATTTATCGATAAATTTCAACTTTTAAGCTCTAAATGGTTTTTTTTTTCATTTTTTGAAAATATTAAATCAATCAACTTTTATCTTGATCATTTCAGTGCTATCTGATCCATCATCCGTATGTCTAAACACCACATCACTGTCGCCGTATAATGCAATCGGCGCCGAAACCTCAGAAGATAAACTCGATGAAACGAACTGTAACTCGTGCATTTGTGTGAATGGCAAACCAAAGTGCTCGAATCTTTGGTGCGGATTAAAGAATTGTTTGCGTTCAAATGTGTCGAGTGGATGTGATGCACACGAAGTATGCGTTCCGCTTACACTACAAGAGAGTTGCTTATCACCGCCATGCATACCAAGAGGTGATTGTCGCAGCTTAGAACCATCTCGACGTGTGGCTCCGCCAAAACTACCCGCTCCCGTTGAATGTTGGCCAAATCAAGCCGTTCTCGATGAAAATTGTGCACGTATCACAATCTTGCTACAAAATCGCATCATTTTACCTGGAACATCGGTTGAAGGAATTTGCTTGAGCCTACGAACGTTACTGGGTACGAGACTAGTAAAAGTCCAAACCGATATGCAATCACCGCTGCTGGTTCTTTTGTGCGACCTGAAAACCGGAACGAATGACACCATCGAAGTTACAATCGTAAGTCGAACAAGTTCCATTGGGGTTTTACACTTTTTTGTAATGAAAATTGATTTTTAACATGATTCTATAATTTGCCTTTCAATTTTTTTCAGTCATCCACAACAAAGAATCCTGAATATATTTCGCAAGCGGTATCAATTCTTGGTGAGTTGTTATCACGCGGCAGTTCATTGGGGACAACATATTCAGCGGAAGAAATTGAAGCGGCTCCATTGGCGGCGATTTTGGAAGTCAAGGTGAATGATCAGATTTTTTCTAAAGCAAATCCAATTTTGACTCATGATTGGCTAGATCTAGTTGTAACTTCAATTGAACATTCAATGAGTTTTTATCGGATATTTCGACCAATTTTCGAATCACATTAACACTTTTCCATCGTTTATCCATTCAAAATCAGGTCGAAACGGCACTTGTCACCAATGAACAATCTCGTTCAGGATTTTTATTGATGATTGTTTGCGCGACGGCAATTGCCGCCTTAGTTCTGGGAGCGTTCGGTGCCCTTTTCTGGCGTCGACGCGTATTCGATGCCAATGGTTCGGGCGTAAATCTGTCGCCAAACATTGAAATCGCTCGACACGACGAAGAAAAATCCAACAACATCCAGAATGAGGAGAACTTCCGGCGTTTGGCCAATCCATTGAAGGGGAGCGCAACATCGTTAAGCGGTGGAATGGAATTGAGTATGCATCCGACGCCCGATGTTGTGTCGGTCATTTCGCTTGGCGAAGGATCAAGTGCAACAAGTAAATCGCAAACAATTTACCCATGTGATGGTGACTTCGATGCAATTGAACCGAAATTGAAATCGAATCGAGGATCTCAAATACTATACAAAGTGCAAAATATCGATATGCGCAAAAATACCGTCGGCTCATTAGAAAGTCCGCACAAAGACTTTGGTAAGCGTTCAATCAATAAGAACTGTAAAACATTGACGCCAGTCTTAGATTCCGAGTGTCTCACCGTTCATGTGTAAACTGATACGAACGTAGAATTTTAGATTTTGAATGTAATAATAATAATTTCTTTTTTCTAATCTTTTTTTATTTTAAATAGCGATTTTAATTTGCGAATGTAGAATTTTTTGTGTCCCCGAATAAATTAGTATTTTAGTTTAATGTCGATCAATTTATTTCGTAATATCTTAGTGAATTTTTATGAATGCGATATTTTTGGTCGTACGTTTTAGTTGTAATTTTCCCAAAAAGGCGATACGACATCACGATTTCGATAATGATAAAACAAAATCCGACAAAAAGCAATGACAAATTATTTATTTTATATGTGAAACGTGTGAATAGATTTTCCTTAAGCAAATTTTTGTTTTAACGTTTTAATTTAAATCAAAACAAGTAACTGTGTGACAGAGAAACGTATTGCGTGGAATTTCTTTCTCTCATTTCTTGCCTGCTGAGATAAAAAATGGAATTCGATTTTTTATTTCATTCTTTTTAAACTCAATCACCCTCTGTCTCTCTAGAATAAGTAATAAAATTTAGTGACAATTTTTAGGCTGGTATTTTAAGAAACATTCCCGATTTTAGGTGTTTAAGTAAGTTGTGTAAATTATTTTGACATAATAATTACGATAAATGAATCGAAAGCAAGAAAAGAAGAGAAAAACGATTCAAAACAAAATGTAGACGATCCTATTTTTTAAACATAAAAACGATAGAAAAAAATATATCATCATTAAGTGATTGTAAAACCAATTGTGTACAAAGCTTACAGAAAACAAGAAAAAAATGCATGAATTATGATTTGCCTTCTCTATTTTTTTTTTCAAAGAAAATTTCCATTTCATTTTTCGAGGAATATAAGTTTAAGTGTGCAATGTGAAGGAATTCTGTTTATTAAATTATTATCAAATGAATGCTAAATTTTGCAAACAAAGCAAAAACATTGGGAAACAAAGAGAGCATGTTAATTTCAATAATATTTTATCGGTTTGATTTTCCTAGATTTCGAATTGTGTGTGCATTTGGAAACGTTTGTGTATGCTTTTTTTTGTTGGTTGGTCTCTTAGAAAGCACGAGTGTCGAGAATGGAATTCAATTTCAATTCATTTTAACGAAACGTTCATTCTTCATTTCATTTCATTCCAATAGCAATTCAAATTGAATCCGAGTCACCGACGAAAACAACGCGTGTTACATCGTTTTAATGTGTCTTCGAATTGTTTCAAGATTTTTGAAAGAGAAAAAAATACAAACAAATGCGCTCAAGCAATACTAAGAATGGAAACGAAAAATCGAGGTGAGGCCCCGTCTAACCGTCTATTGGCCAACTTCTAACTCTATCCGTCCAATGATAGATTTCTTTCGAATGAAATCATTTCGCAACGAAGAAAAAAAACAAATGCTCTTTTCAATTAGAAGACAATGGAAGAAGCGACAACTTTTCCGCCGCAACAGAAGATATTTATATGTACATTTGAACAAAGTATTGCTTGACGGTCCAGTGTGATATTAATTATAAACCATATTTTAAAGTTGAAAAAAAAACTGACAAACAAAACGAACAAAGTGACAAATCTTTTTGAAACAAATCAATTTTGTTTAGAGCATTTAAAGTGTAATAAATGGAGAGTCGGAGAAATGTGGAATTAAAATGAAGAAATATTTTGTTAGAGCTCTCCGCACCTATTCCTAGACTTTATCAGTGACAAGAAAAACAACAACAGCAACAGAAAAAGGAAAAACTGTTTTTAAATCGCAAAACGTGAAAATATTGAAGAAAAAAATAACAAATGAAAAGCTTTTAGTAAGGTCTCTGTTTATTGTAGGTATTACGAATGAGTTACTTTAGGTTAATAATTCAATTTTATTTATCGTTCTAATTGTTCGGCGCGAAGAATGTAGAAGAAAGAAAGAAAAAACCAATGCATGAGAGAATGGCAGGAAAATTAAGACGCAACCGTTAACATTTTCCTAATGTTCCACGCAAAACTAGAAATATTTAATGAAAAAAATAGAACAGGTTCTTTTTAGTTAGAGCTAGGCGTTAAATTCTTACTTTAAAAAAAAAACAAACAAACAATGGATTCATTTAGAAATGAGCAATAAATGGGCTTGTGCACACACAAACACATACACAAAATATGCATGGGCAAATGCGAACTACGATATTTGTTCCAATCAAATGTTTAACGAACAACGAAATTTGAGCCACATTCACGATCATTCCATAGAATAAGAGCCATCTTAGTTATTTACACTGCAAAGTGAGTTAAATCCATAGGTTTAGGGAAATTGATCATTTGTAAAAAAAAAAAAACGAATATGTAATTGTTTAATCGAAAACGACACATTCCGATTTACGAACAAAGAGCTCGGCTCTTTTTTCTCAAATAAAAAATATAATACATGCACATTTTGCGTCGTTAAAATACCAGCAAAGTACTTATGGCATGTGCCTCTCTTCACACCCAAAAGCATTTTTATACTAAATACAAATTATCCAATCATATTCGAAATAAATTGGGATTGAAAATCCTTATGAAAAAAAAAATACATAGACAAAAAATATAGCAAATAATCGAGTGGATTTATACATTTGGATTGACAATAATGTTTAGGACCACAAAAATGCATCAATATAAGTTAAATGAATTGTAATATTGAACGAACAATCAAATAAATTATTGTTTTTTATTCTGATTTAAACCAAAAGCATTTGCCATTGTCATCTTTTTTCTAGGTGTTTTATACTCAAGACATCCTGAATAGAAGCATCGATCTAAAAAAGAAGGAAACTGAGGTGAAATGGTTTGCTTTTCTACACAATACCAATATCATGGTTTAATATTATTAGTTCTTAGAATATCCCATCATGTAAAAAGTTCAAAATACTTCGCTCGCTTACAAGAGATGAGTAGAAAAGCTAATTATAGCATATATGATTAGTAAAAATCAAAACCTTGGACAAACAGCGTAATTGCCCTTCCAAAATTCTATTTGGTGGATGTCTGTTACTAGTCTGAAAGTCCTACTAACTATGGCACCACATAAAAACAAGAAGATCAACAAATATTCTCTGTTAATAAGTCGAATCGAGCCCGAGATTTTTTTGGACGCAATTTTGAACAGGGCATGAGTGTTAAACTTTAAAACGAAGTTCCAAGATGCACGTGTGCAAGTCCAAATGTTGAGCTTTTGCGCAGGCTTTGCTACGGCGTAAATTCATCACGGTAAATCCATTCATGCGATAAATACGGCGCGCTCGCTTTGCGGTGAACAAAGTCTGCTTGTCTTCACTACTGCTTAGCGAGCTAAGAATATATTTAGAAGAATTTATGCCGTATCAAAGCCTGCTTTTGCCTAATCAATCACTATAGCTGTTATATATTTTGACAACTTGCCGTCCTGATATCATATGATGAATCGTTTCGATCAGTATCTAACAGCTCAGTATGACATTATGAATCAATTCGATTCTATGAAAGTAAATTCCCCAAATAGAGTCAATATGAAATTAAGTGTTACAGAAATGTAAAAGTGTTTCAACCTGAAAAAGAAGCTTTTATTATACTGGGAGACGGTGATACTGGCAAAACTTCACTTTCGTTACTTCTCACCGATGGCGAAATGGAAGGGATTGCGTTGCCATTTAGTCATATATTTAACGATACAAACGGTCGCATTAACCATTTTGAACGTACACAAACCATTCCAACGAACACATCGTTCAAATCCACAACATACTATGATTGGAATGCGCTCAAGGATGATCGGGGTGTCGTATACGAATTATTGGCGTCACATCTAATCAAAAAAATTAGCCAAATCAGGAAAATCAGTCCAGTTCGTGTTTGCAATCGAAGAAGACGATATTACTTTGGAAAGAGGCGAGCTATTTATGAGATCAGCAAATCATGCAACCGATCTGATTAAAAACATTGAAAAGTATCGTGTTGCGATTGGATTTGTCATCACAAAAGCTAATAGTAAGGATTGGGTAAGTGGACGGCCGACGAAGGATGAAGACGTAGTGAGTGATTTAGTCGACCGATTGAAAGATTTGATTGAAAGAAGATCCTTAAACTGTACTCAATATCAAAGGGATTCTTAAGTTCATTGATGTTTTGTTGGAGAAAAAAGGAGACCAATACAAGATCGGAGTATTCCAAAGACCAACCCAAAAAGGTCCAGTGAAATTGATGGCAACACAACCAAATGAAAAACTGGCCATTCGGTGGATGATCGACAATAGTCTTCGATTCGTTGGAACCGATGCAAATGATTTCGAGTATTCAGCTAATCATGATACCAAAAATTATGGTAGGGACGCAAGGACTTTAAAATTATATTTGGAAGAATAGAAATCCGTTCCGAATGTTCCTTAAATGACATTCTTTTGAACAATTACGACTGTAATGTTGTGCCACTTTGAATTTTCCACCACGTTCAAATAAATTCAATGTTACATTTTTGAAAGTATCAGATTAATTCAACAAATGTTGTAAAATAATCTAATGAATATCATTGTTCAATTGCAATACATTATCGTGCCTTTATCTTAATTTCAATTCAATAAATAATGAATATGTAAGAAATAAAATTTACACTGATCAAACTCGCGGTAAAGTAGATCAGAACAAACTAGTGCTTGAAACAGAAAAGCATAACTAATTTTACACTACCTTAAAAAACGAAAAATATCTCTTGACTGAAATCAATTCTGAATCTATGCTAATCCTTTTCAAATAACCAATCAAAAATGATTAGATATTTCAAGTATGTTCTTTGCTAAATAGCCTCATCATTATCACTAACAATGTATTATTTCAAAATATCTTATAATCCTGGTTCTGATGTGATTTTGCTGAATTAAAACAACGAACTTTGTGGAATCGCAAAGGATACTCAAATTCTTTTTTGTAGGTATGTGTCGAATTCAAACTGAAAAGTCACAACAAATTGTTTAAAATTGAGCATCGCACGGCATGCTATATGAGGCTATGAGAATGAAAATGGCAATACAGGAATAAACATTCTGAACCGCATCAAGAAAAAAAATTCGCAAAAGTGAATCATGAGTTCTGAATACGCAAAAGTGAACCATGAACCTCCTATGCTGCCCATGTAAATTCATGTTTCACTTTTGCATATTCAGAACTCATAATTCATTTTCGCGAATTTTTTTATTTTTCCGTACACAACGTGTCAAGGGAAAGTATAGGAATTGGTCCCGAAAACTTTTTTCGCAAAATTGGTTTAGATCATCATAAAAACTCATGAAACGCGTAGAAAACCACTTCTTGAGACACTTTTCCGTTCGTGTGCCGTCGTTGTCGTTGTCGTTGTCGTTGTCGTTGTCGTTGTCGTTGTCGTTGTCGTTGTCGTTGTCGTTGTCGTTGTCGTTGTCGTTGTCGTTGTCGTTGTCGTTGTCGTTGTCGTTGTCGTTGTCGTTGTCGT